ACATATGGGTTGATCTATATAATTCAGTGACGGCGAAAGTTCTGTTAGTGTTCTCGTTCTAGCTTTGACAATAACTATTGATTGAGAAAGGAATAACGGTGAGAGATTATGAATGATAGTATATGATATCGTCTGGTGGCAGACTTGTGATACATAGACTCTGACCTTTAGACTTGTGCATGCATCGCTCTACAATACTTATGTAGCTTCACTTACAATACACTATCGCAGATGGATATCTTGTTTTGTGTCACTCAATTTGTTTGGAGATTTGTCTTACATGATTCAAACCAGGGAGTATATATAGTGAGGTCCTGAAAGTTTTACAAACGAGAGTGGAGTTCCAGGGGCTGGTGACTTGAAGCGGAGTCTAGCCGACAAGGAATCTGAAATCTTGACTGTGGTTTGGATGCACCATGACATCTGGGTCGACAAGATACTTTTATTATTTGAGTGTCTTGGAACTTCAACACATATCCGAAATATATCAACAACAATATAGATATCCTCGACGAATGAATGATATAGCGAAAGTCGGATGAGAAGATGGAAGATTGCAAGACCCCTTCAATATCAGTATAATGTGTAATCTTACCCGCCTCTAAGAAGATTTTTGATGCTTCAGAATAGGTTGATGAAACATAGTACAATTTAAGCGTCGTTTGATAATTGGTTATGGTGAAGGATATCTCGATGCGATGGACTATCTTTATAAGGCCCTATCAATGCAACAACTCCCAAGGCTTAACCTCGAGGCTCTCATAAAGAATTCACTGCTCTAAAAGTTGCCCACAATTAGGTAATTGAAGCGGTTGTTCATATACACGAAATGTTCAGTGCCTCATCTTTCATCGCCAATCTTGGATATCGCCTATTTATAACACTATTTAGGTCATATCTCATGGCATATTCTTGTTCTCACGTTCCATAGCCCATAACTATATGTCGGCTTCACCTCCAAGATGGCTTTAATTATTTGCATACCACGGAGTCGCTTTTAGTATCACCAGAAATGATAAACTGAAACTGACTTCGCGTTCATTGTTATGCTGCATCTTCTAGAAAGTAGATCACTGTCGCTAAAACTTCTCGTTTAGCGTGAATGGACAATGACACAATCATCCCGACAACAAAGAGTTTGAATGGTGGATTGAATATCTCATTATTCAAAGATAATTTCTTACAGCAGAAATGCTTTGCATAACTTGTTAAGCCACAAATAAATATTGCAGGTTTGATTTGACCTACATCGTTAAATTCGACACCCCTCAAACCCCCATTGTAACAGGAAATATTGTTGGCGATGTGGCTCTCTTTATAGTGATCCTGAAAATATTCTGGCGCGAAAGCCCTAACACTCCCCCCTCTCTTTCCCGGTAGATCCACTTTTCAGATCAACATCATGCAAGTCCAGTGCATCGGATGGATCAGATAAGAGTTCAAAATTGACCAGGCGTGCAAGAAAATAAGACTCACTCAATACACATTGTGGGTTCTATATATTCTTTGAGATAGATAAACAATACCCTGCTAAGTCTCAGGTTTCAATCATGATAGGTAGACAAGATCCATGACTCCTGTGGTATCATGTATGAGTTGAGTTGTTGACTAAAATTGGTCGAAGATATGTGGGATTATATCATGTATGTATGTCGAATAAATGAGTATGAATATACGACAACTCAAGCTGCTCATAGACTAGAAATTTAAGAATTGAAATGATATGAAAGGGACCATGAGCAGTCAAATAACTAGAAAATCCATTGTCATATTTAACGATGATCAATTTGGATGAACAATTTGCAAACCGCAGACACATAGTTGAAGATACATGGGTAACATGGTGAAGTAATCATTCTCCCACAAAAACTACCCCCTTCCCCAAAAAATCCTTACATCCCCGCCAGAGTATCTCTGAAAACTTACACGAGTGTTGATTTAGAAACGGCGGTCAAACCTAAATTTACCATTTATCACAAGCATATTCACATACAATACGATAAAGCATTGAACAACAATAAAGTAAACATCTCAACCCAGACTAGAAAATCGAATATTTGTAACAAAAGCGTTGTGAAAATATAGTGCTGATAGATTTAACCAGCAGTACTGTGAAAGTATCTCAAAAACATTGTTGTAATGGTTTGAAGGCGTTGAATTAAATATAAAGATAAATATTCTGGTAGAAAACAGCTTCATTTATATCGCATGGAGAGAATAAGACTTCTTGGAGAGCCTAAATTTTGACTGCTATTTTTATATTCACTATCTTACTCAGTATTCTGAGGATATCACGAGCCTTAATCATACAGATGATATATAATAACGTTCACATGAATAATAAACCCCTTCCTACCTCATATGCTATTGCTCACAAATGTAGATCCACTTCAGACTACCACGTCAATCCTTCGAGATCTATTTAAGAGAGGCAGAGTGAAGACTCTTCATTCTCATGCACTCTTGACATAAGGCACATACAGACCTTAAGTCCAGAGTCATGGAGCTTTGAATTTGCAGTACAAACCTTACTGAGATGTCTAATATCCCCATTCCTGCGTGAGAGTTTGAGTCTTCTGGGTTTGATGCGGTATGGAATTTATAATGGATGAGATAAGTGGTGATCATTTAAAAGATAAATGACAACAGTCATAAGATTAACGATCATGATAATCACTGCGGCAAAGTGCGACAACGAATGATACGCTCGATCACTTGCGTAGAATCTATACTTGGTCATGATTCTCTACAGTAAAATAGGGTATATAACACCTCTATATGCCGTCACTAGACCCGTGAGACGACAGCGCCTACAATATTCTCCGTCCCTCGGTGTATCAGAAGTATTGCAGCATTTCTTCGGAGAAATCAGTCCATTTATGCAATGAGATGAGAAATCTCCGTTTCAGGGCTTGGGCTTCCCTCGCACATCCATTGATTGAGTTCGCTTGAAATATCTCAATCGGGATAATTCAACGTAGCAAACAAAATGCGTTTTATCTGACCAAGGGTAGATCACAGGTTCTTGGCCTCTGAATGACTACATTTATGCTTATTTAAAGCTCATGACATGGGTACCTAGCTCGAAGTCCCCAACGACTAATGGCCTTCAGACGAAGAAGCGCCACAAGGACTGGATGGAGTTTGCAGAATAAATGTGTAAGACACACGTATGGAGAAAACACACCATGCTGGATATAGAAGGTGAGCGGATCTAGATGTTGATTCATTGGCCATGTGGAAGAGACGATCTACACGTAAGATGAAGTAGGAAAGCAGGCAGCAATAGAACTTTTGATAACATTAATAGTTGTTAGATGATATCACAACTAGGTAGGTAGTGGAAGAATTCAAGACTTGTACCAGAGTACAGGATGTGAGAATATGGGGAATAGAGATTAGGCACGATCCTAGAAGCATGACATCCTCTGTAGTAATTGTTCTCCCATAGTTCTGTCTGGAAGGTGTTGGATACACTTAACACGAGTTCTAACGTTGAATGTTTAATTACCGCCATATAATATTTCTACGGATACGCGAGTCAGTCATTGATGATATGTAAAGTCACCACTTGCCCACCAAAGACTTTACAGGTAAATGTATGAACCTCCGAGGTGAATCTGCTCTACTTAGGCTTGATCAGAGCGGATAAATTGATGAGAAAGTCATTAATAGAGTATTACCCAAAGAGGAATCGTCATTGTGTCCCCAAACCACTCAGCTACCTATTTATATCTTGTCTCCAACCGACATTTTAAAGTGCAGCTCAAAAAACCAAGGAGAAAGTTGCATCCGACAGACACAGTAGAAGGGATACATTATATAAGATTGCATGAACTCTGGGGTTTAGATATAATGTTTATCTCAAAGTCTCGGGATCTATTCGTATACGCTATTTGCATAGTCACATTCGGAATCGTAGTGACAGCAAGACTCCACAGCAACAGCAAAACTCCATTATTGGATGAAAACAAACAAAGTCTTTCGTGCTTAGCTACCAAAATGTCGTCAACCAAAACGAAATGTAGGACACAGGTATCAGTACAATACGGTTATAAACACGAGTTTGGACTGACCGCTAGACCAGAACACCTTTCATCGCACAGACTTGACTTGAAATTGTTTTGATTTTTAGATAGGAGAGTTAAAGGCCTTAAATAGCAGAAAGACATCTGTATGAACCTTTGATTACTGTCTATGATTCACTAACTCAAGGAGTCTGTAGAGTATATGATTCACATGTCTTCTCTACCCCTCCTGGGCCCATTATCCTTTAAGCTTTCCAGCGCAAGATGCACACACAGGACAAACTATATGAATCAACACTTGTTCAGCATCGGAAAATCAAAGCCAAAAAGTATTACCAAGCGAAGACTTATTTGGATATGGAATATCGGGGTTAACAAGTCAATATTCTTGGAGCATTCCCATGGTAGCTATAGTCTCCTTGAACTGTCTTGCCAGAATTGCGAAATTGACAAATCAAATAAAATGAACGACAATCAAAAAGATACTGATGGTATTGTTATTAAAGAGATATAATTTGATCTCACTGTCAATTCTACTCATCTACCTACATACCGAGACTAGCGGTGAAGAAAATACCGTGACACAAACTCTGCTCTAAAAATCATCAAATCATGCAATAATAAAACTACCACCACAAGCATCCATCATTCTGAAATCACCCACACGAAATTCTCAGAACCATTGTAATCACAAGCGCTCAAAATCCCGAAGTTTTGCAAATTCCAAATATAAAAATTTAAGCGCCCATCTACCCCACCTTTCACGCTTGCTGTCATCATCACCGTTATCATCATCATCCCCCATTCTTCAACAATCAATCCTTCGACTCGGTCCATCGTCATCTCACACATCACACATCACACATCACACATCACACATCCCACAGGCCATGCTCAGATCTTCCACCAAACAGTATTCTTCACCCTAACCAAAAATACACAAACAAACCTAGGAGGTAGCATTTATGAGATATGCAACAAATCCTTCTCGGTCATGGGAAGCGTCTTGAAGGATGCAGAGAGATGGAAAATCTTGGGTAAGATTATATTAAGATATCATGTGCTTGAACTTGGCACTTGGCATCTTCGATGGAGAAGGGAGGGAGAAAGTGGTGTTAATCAAGTGGACAAGATTTCTGGTCGTGAGAATATGGGGAGGTTAAGGGAGAATGTATCGAGATGGTTATATCATCTTAACCTAAGTGGAAGATACGCAGTTGTCGATACTACGGCTCACGCGACTTTGCGTGGTATTCTGGATTTAGGTGATGGATGGAAGAAGGTAACATTCATCAGATACGCAATACTTGCTTCTCAGGCTTAAAGATGGAGTGACATGGAAGAAGGTAGTATTCATCAGATATGCAACAATTCATCCTCGTTGCCAAAAATGTGGTGAAGGATCCATTATATCACATTGAGATGTGTCTTACCTCTTGGGACCTGAAGTCCCCGCTCTGCATACCCAATCCGGACAGTTTATGGAAGAAGGTAGCATTGACCAGACGTGCAACAATTCCATCCCGGCGTTAAAGATGGGACGAAATAGAAGAAGGTATCATTCATCAGATATGCAACAATTGCTTCTCATTCCAAAGAATGGGGTGAAAGATCCATCTATATCACATCGATCCATATCTCACCACCTAATCCCCAAATCCCCGCTCTGCATACCCAATCCAGCCAACTCATCGAAGAAGGTAGCATTCACCAGACATGCAACAAAACCCCTTCTCAAAACCTACAGTAAAGGATCCCCATCCACATCCCTATCCAGGAATAGATCTCCATCCTCCCAAGACAATCTGAGGCTCACCACCGACCCTCCCCAATCAGATGAACAAGGAACGAACGTAGCATTCACAGATACGCAACAAAAGAAGCTATTTCTTTCTCCCCAGCAACCACACGCAAACACCACCCCCATCCCATCCAACAACCAACCACATCCCAAGCCTTCACAAAATCGTTGTCCCCCTCCAAAAAAGAACACAGCTTAACAACCATCCACAATCCATCCCTTCCTATCCCAGCACTCCAATTTTCAAGGTAACATCAACCAGACAAGCAACAAAACCCTCACCCATCTCTCTCTAGCCTAGACCCCCCGAAAACTTCACAGATCAGCATCATCTCTACCCCTTCCAGAAACTCACAAAAGAAGGTGGTATTCTGCAGACATGCAACAAACTCTATTTTAACACTCCACGCTGTTCGTGCGTGCGTGCGTTGGAGGATTGCGTTTTTAGCGGTGATGAGGGTGGTGGGAAGTGGGGCCGGGATGGATATCGAATGAGATGGGGAGGAGTGAGACATTTGGGTTTTGGAGGAAAACTCGTGATTTGGATTGCAGAGTGTGAGTTGATAGGTAGGAAGGTATCAAGATGAGAAAAAAAGATGTGTATCGAGTAAGCATGGAAAATTTCATTGGCGTCTCGCGAATAAAATATGTACAAAGTTAAACAAAGCCTTTCTTCACCTCTTTCATCACTTCCATCGCATTTCCTCCAATTCCCCACTCCTCCTTCCCCTTCCCCCTTTCCCTTCACCCACCAAATACATCCCTTAACACAGTTCTTTCCCCATAAACAAACTTTCCCGTCGAATTCTCACACCACAGTACCATCCACAGGACTCTTGATACAAGTTGTTCCCACCCCTTTACCTGTTCCCTCATTCCCCCAATAAAACACCCAGTAATCCGCTCCGGCCGTCAACTCCGACTTGGTAGGCGCAGTACACTTGTATGCGGAACAGGTTCCATACGGAGCACCGTGGGCGCTATCATATTGATGATCTTGTTGGAAGACGGCAAAGGTTTGGGTCCCGGAAGACACGCGTGGTTGTATGCGCATTCGTCGGCTTGGATGGCTTGGAGACTTTGTGGCTGGGGGAAGGGTTAGTGATTTGATTTGGTATTTGGAAGGGAGAAGGGTTGTTTACCTGTGCAAAGCGGGGGATTTGGGGTCGTAGCCCTTGGTGTTTGAGGTAGCGGGGTCGAGGGTTGCGGTTGCGAGAGTGCTGAAAGCAGCAATGCTGAGGATGGAAGTGAAGAAACGCATGATGATTTTCTTTGGAGATTTATTTTATATGCTAAAGGTAGAGAGATGGATGATTTGAGATGAAAAATGATCATACAGAAACGAGAAATCGAGATATATATGTACCTTTTGAAATAGATTAAAGGTCCATAACCACGCAATGCGCAATATGGAATAGAGTGAAATCAACATGAAATAAACAAAGGATCCATCTCCAATCCACTCTCATCGGGGAAATAATGCGAGAAAGAACCTACGAGGGGGGTTCAGCGATCTGGGGTTTGTCGCGTTGCCGGTAGGGAGGTGTAGCGGCGACGGGCCGATGAAACACGTGGGTGGGTCCATCCGATGTTTAGCAGATAGATTCAGGGGAAGGGATAATGGGGACGATGGAAAGATTGAGTTCATTTGGATGTGATGGTCGTAATATAAACAACATGTATCGATTCGTCCGCTCGTTTGTCTATTTGCTTCACACAGTATCACTGCGTCGGTACCGTGTATCTCGATCCCATGTTGATATAAGTATCTGCACCCCAACCAAACTCCTGGATGTCTTGGCACAGCCTCAACTCATGGATAGATGGATAACTTGAAAGCAGAATGGTCTACCTGGAGGGATGATTCCATATTTTCCAAATTTTCCCTATAATACACAATATCAATCCCTACACCGAGCTGATTCGGTGATATTCACAAACCTTGCTAGGGCTAGGATGTATAGATTTAATTGCGTGCACACCGATCGAGAAGCTTTCCACAAGTAATCTAGAACGCGAGAGAACATTGAATTTCGTACATCTATAGCTGTTCGTATAGAATACCTTATTCATAAGAGTTTCATCTGAAATAGCAGCAATGCAGCATAGATTGATTAAATGCGATGTGGACTTCCACAACTATACGATATCATTAAGCGTTATCTAGCTATAACACACTCCCTAGTTCCCTGTAACAACTCTCTCCTTCGGAGTCCTTCCAGAATCCATCATGAGAATTCTTCCGGCCGTCGGACTTTTAAACCTCAATAGATTCAAGAGAAAAAATCAATAAGGCATTGAATCTATGAAATTAAATGAAAGACTTCTCTTCATTGTGGTTTTCCTCGGAATAGCCGGCGCCTTTGAAATATATAGATGGTTAGCATGAAAAGACAGGAGTCCAGGCCATATTTCATTCATGTATGAAGAGTACTTAAATATCCAAAGGACTTGATGCTAAAGTTTTAGTGATTAAATGACCTCAAGTCACCAATGTGGACGGACTACATGGCGAGTACGGTCACTGCCGGTGTGGAACGGTGCAACTTGTTGTAGTTTCCACTGGGGACTGACACCAACAAGGGAAGAGTTGTCAAGAACCAGCTGTAGGTAATTTATGTTGTGTTGATACTGCGGTGTGGTGATGTTGGGACAGAGAAATGTAGAAGTCGAGGGCTGTGTTGGCAGACATGTACCTAGTAGTTGCATTCTACCTCTCATCCCCAACTCCTTTAATAACATCAACATTTTGACATGAATAAATGATCTCATATGTTTGAAAAAAATTCTTCAATTGTAACTATCATAACCCAAATCTCAAAGTTTCCCCTCACGATGTTTGACCGTGTGTCTATATGACATATAAGCTGTTATTCAAACCAATCCTTTCATCAATCCTTTCCTTACTCTCCAAGAATCTTATCAGCGCCGGAGACTAGGGGATAGCTGTTAGCATATTTGTTCAAGTATAGGCCGGTCTTTCAAACATACCAGTGTGTCCAATGTTATCTGGCTCAATGTTGACACTCTTGACTTTACCACCCTCGATAACGATTGCGTATCTCTTGCTTCGGTTTGTGCCCAATAATGGAGCAGCTGGGAATTCAAGATCCCAAGCACGAGTGAAGCTTCCATCTTGGTCACCAAGGAAACGGATACCACTCTTCTTGTCTGCGTCAAGGGATTTACCCCATGCGTTCATACTGTTCATAAAGTTAGCCAGGTTCAGCCTCAAGGATGTGGGGTCGGAGTTGCGGAGTTGGGAAGTTCTTACACGAAAGCATCGTTGACGGATACAACAAAGACCTTTCCTGCGGACTCAAGCTTTGGGTGAAGGATATAACCATGAACGTGAGAATCAGAGCATGTTGGACTGAAAGCTGCTGGAACACCGATGATGATACCAGAACCTTCACCAATCTCGGCAGCAATGTTGACCTTTTGGCCTGGGTTGCCCTCGGCGAGCTCGACAGTTGGGATGGAATCTCCGACCTTGACCATGATTGCGATTTAAGTATTTGGTATTGAAAAGGTTAGATTGTTTCTAAGATAGTATAATGTTGTAGATGTGATGTGTTGAGTTGAAGAGTGGATGTCGAAGAATGAAATAGAAGACTGCGAAGAGGGGTGACGTCCCATACTTACCCTATGAAGTATTCACTCACTCACCCCGCCATAACGTCACTTAAGCGTATATGCATGAGAGCTACCTTGTGCGATGGTGTTATTGGTGTTGTTGGTGTTGTTGCTGTCATTGGTGTCATTGTTGTTCATTAGCCACAATAATTCGGAATGTAACCCCATAAGTTGCGAGTATTTGGAATACTAAGAACCTCTAAGAAGCTCTAGGAAGGTCTAAGATAATAGGGACGATCCGAAAACCCGCTTTTTCATCATCTGTGGTACTTTGATGCTCTTGATAAGGTCTTTTGCGTACCGGAGTTCCAAAATAGACAATTGACTTTCTCCTTTGGATTTTGGTTGTGTGATATTAATATTTCGTGCATGTTGGAATGGTTGAGGGAATGCCAAAGGATTGGAAATATGGATGGCGATGGCGTTTAGATTGGAGTAAAGGTAGCAGTGCAGTTCTACTCGGGTACCTACCAGGTGCTACATTAGAGGCAGGGAGGGGTAAGTTAATCTATTTTCAGGGTGTTTTCGGAGCACGGACTTTCCGGAGTCTTTCAGGACGAGGCTCACATGGGTTGAACAAGGCTTTTGGACAATGCTACCCAAGTATCCATCAAATTATCGTGGGAAGAATTTGGAATTCACGTCAATTTGATAACCACCAAGTTCATCTACACCCATACCATACCACCAGCCAGCATTATTTGATATTGAAGGTCGAGAACCATATCAGAACTACCGGATTATCAATTCACTCCCTTCATACATGGTATGTCATCATTCTTATCATATCCTGCTGACAATTAATGATCTGATTTGGGATAATCTAGACCTTCTCTTGATACCGGCTGCTCGATGCGATTATCTATCCAATATCATATCATATCATATCCATCTCAACCTTGCGACACCAACCTCCCATTACAACTTCTACCCTACGCATCAATATAGAAAAGATTGTCTCAAAAATCATTGTGCTCCCTTGAATGTGCCATATCTATTCTGACACCATTGGATCCAGAAATTCTATGATTCGGGTGGTTCTATAATTGCATTGAATGGTCTTTACCTACAAGGTATCCTACGCTCTAGATTGTCTACCGCATGTCAAAGATTAGATTGCCAGTCTTCTTATCTCTCTTTGCCAACAAATTGTCGACCAAATATCCACGACCCAATCAAACGGATGTTTGCCAAACCAGAGCGCTCGTTATGGGTAAAAGAGGACCCAAAAAGAACTACTTTGTAGTATGTCGAGGTAGAACAACTGGAATTCTTGATGGGTGGGCTCAATGTGAAGCATCTACATCAGGTTTCTCTGGTGCCAAGTTCAAAGGTTATGAGACCCATGATGAAGCTCAAAAAGCATGGAATGGGTGGTTACAGACTCAAGGCTTTGCGCCTACTGAAGGTGTACCACATGACACATTAGAGAATAATCTTTCAGATCTCTCTAGAGTTGTGAATCAAACTGTGATTGATAATCATTTAAACGCACGGGTAGGGTTGAAAAGGAAGTATGAAGATGAAGATTCTTCCATAAACATCAAAGATAGTGCCGTAATAACCTCTGCTCGACCGATTGAAGCAGAAATCAGTGCTATATCAACCGAAAAAACCTTTATTGACCTTACAAGAAGTCCAGAGCGTGCAATATCACCCGACAGACTTCTCGATTCCGAAGGAGGAAAAACACAATCGTTCAAGAAGGCAAAATCTGGCGACAACACACCTACACTAAACCCTGATGTTGAAATTCCAGACTCAGAATTTGAGTTATCTGATGAAGAAATTCTCGATAACATCACTTCAACGTGTGAAGATATCCCTAAGCCTGTTGAACTTACAACCGAGCAGAAATTAGTCGTCAAGATGGCAATGGGTAGAGATAATATTTTTCTTACCGGTGCCGCTGGATCTGGGAAAACAGTTACCCTACTGCAAATCATAGAAAAGCTAAAGAGAACGCTACAGGACAAAAATTCAAATATCCCGAAAGTTCAGGTTGCTGCTCCTACTGGATTGGCGGCGCTGCCCTTGAATGGAAGAACAACATATTCAGTTGCTGGGTGGAAACCAGATTCATTCAAGATGCCCCTCGATCGACTTCTCGATGACAATAACATAAAGGAGAAAACAATAAAAGCTCTTCGAAGATTAGAAGTTCTGATATTGGAAGAAATTTCAATGGTTGAAAGCCAATTCCTTGAGCGTTTCAATTTACTTCTCCAGACGGTAAAGCAAACCAAGAAACCTTTCGGGGGTATTCAAGTGATATTTTTGGGCGATTTTTATCAACTTCCTCCTGTAAAACCTTTCGAGCATTGCATGATATGTGGAGTTGAGATGGCTGGAGTTTTTGACCGTGTTTGTAAGAGTAATCTATGCAAAGATCGTTCAGACAATAACCCTTTCAAGCCGGGTGATAAATGGGCATTCAATGCTCCCGTGTGGAAACAACTTAAGTTTAGACATGTCAATTTGGAGCAAATTCATCGACAGAAGGACGAGAAGTTCAAAGACCTGTTGAACAAAGTTCGCAATGGTGTTAAATTGAGCGATGCAGAATGGCATGATCTGATACGTCCAAAGGTGCTTCCGCCCAATGCTTTTCCTACACGTCTCATGGCAAAGCGTTTTGATGTTGACCGGTTCAATGATTCTCAATTGGATTTGATAAAATCAGAAGCAAAGGTCTGGGAAGCCCTTGATGATTCATGTCAACTCTATCGAAACGAGCTTGATTATTTGCGTCAGCACGAGATTAACAAGAAGATGGAAGAATATAAAATCGCCATATCGGAATACCATCGTTTTCCCAAAAGATTGACGTTGAAAGTGGGTGCGAAAGTAGTTTTACTTCACAACCAAGAGCAAAAAGGTGGCTTGGTGAATGGTTCTCAGGGTACAATAGTCGGATTTGTAAATGCACAAAAATGGCCAGCAGCTGTGATCCAGGGTGACCATGCAGATTGGAGACAAGTTCAAATGAACCATTTTATTGAAAAGAACCCTTGGAGACCTGTTGTGAAGTTTACGGATGGTAAGACGACTGCAATTGCGCCGGTTTCATCAGAAACTTTGATGGGAACGGTAGAAGATAGATATCTTGCTTGCAGAACTCAAATACCACTCATCTTAGCCTGGGCTTTGTCGATTCATAAAAGTCAAGGCATGACGATGGAACATGTTGAGGTATCAAGTAAAGATATTTTTGAGTCAGGTCAGTTATATGTTGCTTTATCACGGGCAACGACGTTGGAGGGCCTTACGGTTACAGGTTACTCCAGGGAACAAATCGCTATGGATGAGGATGTTGTGGACTTTTATCAAAAGACGCAGTGGGAGAATTTACAACCCCCTTCTGAATGATAATCTATGGGGATTTGAGCATCTGTTATATCTGAGAGACTGAGACTGAGGACCTAGGGAGAATTATTGGTAGGTTTCAATCATCTTCACGTCTCGTGCCCGAAATGCTGACACAAATTCATAGTTTGGAATCCTCCCACTCAGGAACCTACAAATGCACTCATCAATGTCGAGTTACAATTTACATCGCCGGAAACATATCACTTGATACAACGGCGACGGCAATACTGATCAATCATATTCAATATCAACATGTTGGTTTACTTTGTACGATGTAGAGTCTGAAAGTTTAAGTGGGTCGACCGTTGCCCTGACAAATGAGAAGCGAGATTGTACGACCCGCACCATAAAATCTCTTCAGGAAAATAATTTCTTCAACTTGTACTCACACAACATCACATCAACTGCTTCAAGTTGTGTATCTTCATGCTACTTCTGTAGCTGATATGAAGACACAATGTTGCTGCCTACTTCAACTTGATTGATGTGCAGACAATTATCGACCTTTGCTTTACCATCCTGCGCATATCCATTATTCACCAAATGTAAGTACCGCACTCAATCCCAATTCATATCTCTCCCCTCACAATATACAATATGATGAGCAAAATTGGTCCGTGTTACTGAGAGGCCTCAAGAACCTCGTTCTGGCGATACAACCGAGCACTTTGTGCAACTCTGATTTTAATTCCTTTTTACATTTTCTTTTCCCTTTGTTGATATGAATGGGTTTCACTGTTACTATCTGAGTTTGGAAGAAGAAATGCTAATATTGAGAAGATAGGAATTGTTCTTGAAGAGCTCGTGTGTGATGAGAAGAGTGAGTGTATGATTGAGTAGGGGTTGGAGATTGTTGAATCCTTCCGTCCTTTGGCTTTAAGGTCTCATTGAATGGATGCATACTTTTTGGCGTATGATACCCATATACTTGTTGCGTTGTCTCGTATAGAGATAGATGAACAGACTTTCCTGCATTGTATTGCATACAGTAGGATAGCATCACAGCATAGTTTCATAGCATAGCGATGAATTTTTAAGAAAAAGGTTGAATCAATATCAAGACTTGACGTTACGCTCGCTGTCCACTTTCTCGGTGATTACTTGGTGCTTGTGATTCTTCTGATGTGATGATTAGTTCGTTTGTTCATGTTTATCGATATGTATAGGTACATATATATATACATACTATCTACATCTTTCCTCCGTTTCCTTTCGCTCCTCCGCGCACACACATCTGGATACCTACCTTACCTACCTTACCTCATCTCACCACATCACATCCCCAGCTCATCATAATACTCATTATCCTCCATCTATTCCAAAATAAGTTTTAATTCTTCATTTAAATTTCTCCCTCCTCCACCATCTCCCATCTCCCACCTCCCATACCACTCATCACACAGTCCCACCCACACACCCAAAACCCCGCATACTCTATCCATCCCTACTCTCCCCAGCCCTATTTCACATATATACATATATACATATACATATATCCATACAAAAAATATTATCTCAACCATCTCCCACTACCCATTACCCACTACCCCTTACCCACTACCCATTACCCATTACCCACCACCCACCACCTCTCTACCCCAACCCCAAAATCGTTATCGGAAATCCATATCAGATTTTTCACATCACATTACAGATTTCCATGTATCTATGTAAGATTAGATAGGAAACTATTTATAATATATATACCTACTCACCTACCTATCTACCTACCTATCTACCTATACATCTATCTACTCATCTATCTACTCACCTACCTACTCACCTACCTACCTACCTACACCATCTACCTAGATACTCATATACCTACCTAGTGCCCACTATCCCATAAATCTCATTCTCATTCTCAACCCCATCATCGTCCCCATCCCCCATCCCTAGCAAAAAGAAAAGAAAAGAAAAGTATATACCGATCCTCCATCCCCATTCTCAATCCTCAATCCCCAAACTCTCAAGTACGAAAATAGTAAAACCCATAAATCAATCAGTAAACCAACCCATCAACCCATCACCCACCATCACCCACCATCACCCACAATCACCCACCTATCACCACCATCGCCCCCCAGCAAATACAACATCGACTACTAACCTAAGTATATTTATTTATTTATCCATCACAATCGCCATATATATATGAAAAGAATGAAAAAGAATATAAAGGGGAGTGGGTTGAAGGTGAAGGAATAGGAAGAGGAGAGGAGAGGAGAAGAGGGAGAGGGAAGTAGTGATATAATAGATATAACTTACTTAGTACCACATAGTGAGTGTTCCTAGGGGATATAGAGAGAATCGTAACCCATATGATACAATACAATCATCTATGATCCTACCTACCTATAGAAAGAAGAAGCACGGTAACGACATGCCTACCTAGATTCTCACAATCGGGAATACAGGAAGGCGATTTGTAGGTAATAATTGACTACCTACCTAGTATCAAGACTTCGTTATTCGATTCATATAAAAAATCGAAGCAACAAGTTTTATATTTTTAACCCCCTCGTAATAGTAAAAAATTCGAGCGTGAAAAGTATCTAACACCGATAGACAGCGACCCTACTAAAAGACAACGTCGCACAAATTCCTCCAGTAGACCATCTCCTCCTCACCTCCGTAACTTCTCAACTCCGCATTGTCCTCCTCCCCATTCAACCCAACCCTGCATACTCACATCTGATGTCAAACACAGAAATGAACAAAAAGCAACATCAGCTGAACAAAAACAATTGTAAAAATAAATGCACTCAACAACACAAACCTTCAAATACCTATTTTCCTTTTCTCTCGTCAGCCACGATATAAAAGATCATGTCAGAGCGACGGGAACTTTCCCGTAATGCCATGGCTCGTGTCTCCATTACCCATGTAATTTCTCAACCGAACCATGGGATTTACTTTCTCAGGTAAGACATCATACATCCATTGCGTAACGCCACTCCACATTCCCTTGCTTGAAGGAATGTAATAGCGAATCCAAACATTTACCTACAATAAACCATGATAATATCAGTCAGCTCTTTATCTCTACCATTCGGAGAATTACCTTTCTTTCTTCATTTCTTTATTTCAAATCTTTCTTTTCTTTGTTCTTGTTTTATCAACAAGAAAGGCTTTGTGCGAATAATTTGTGTTCATGATAACTACCGTTTGCATCAAGAATGATACTACGTATAGTCTCAGAATTGCGAATATGGGAGTGCATCTTGACCGGATGCAAATATTTTTGAGCGATTACTGGTCTCGATGGCATTGCGATGTATGTGATATGGATGCAATAGGCATGGTTGATTTACGACTAGTCGCCTATAGAATGGGATTGATGGGTGTTTCTTTGTTTGTATGAATGCTATTGTGAATTTGTGAGTAGGGCGGATTGGGGGCGAGCACGACAGGTGGCAATTATCATTATGGGCGACATTGAGTGAAATCGAAAATAATCTTCTTTCGAAATTAACAAGCACGTTGAAACTTGCTGTCAATATGTAATACGTATCGAAATAGCATTTTTTTTTTTTGCGAATAATTCTTTTGTAATGTTGTCATGGGTATTATAGTGTGTGAGTATGAGTTGTATCGAATTCTTTTGTTTATGGCGACTAAAGACGAACGAAGTCGACAAGATCTTCGAGGCGTATAGGGCCGTGGCAAATTGGTTGCGATAAAAAAAACTCAGTCTCAACTGAATAGTGGTACAAGGAGGACATAAGGTGATGAGGGAGCTGATCGAAAAAAGCCAGTGATATGTCCCATGGAAGAACGCACCCCTATACTAAAGGATCGTCTTTGCTGTAAACTCCGCCCAAATGACCGTACGTCGAACCGAAAAACCTGAATATTATGAAAGAAACCCTAGCATCCGTTGTAAAATGAAATCAAAGGGAATCGTATGTTCTCGCTCGAAATTCCGCCGCAACATTTGTATACCAGCGCACTTTTTTTTGGCATTTTCCGTTGCCCGAAGCCTTGGACCATGATGAATACAAACGAGAAGAGAAGCACAAGTGGAGGTACACCCGCATCAATGAAAGTCGCAGATCCAAAGCTGTCCTCTGCGTTCTTCGAGATCGTACGATTTAACGAGCAGGGCGCTCACCACCTATGTTGGTTAGCAATTAATATTCACGACGGGAATGTCTATCATCATCGTAGGCTCTACCTCCATATGGCTCTCGAGCATCTCCACGAGGAGCTTGATCACCATAGGCAGCAGCGGGAGCCGGGTCTCGAGCTGGTCTATCATCACGACCACCTCTGTCGTATCCACGATCACGGTTTTCGTATCCTCCTCCACCTCCACGTCGGTCATCACCAGAGCGGCTGTAACGGTCACCACCATCGCGGGGTCCAGCGTAACGATCAATTCCACGGGGAGCGTCGTTGTAGTCGTCACGATCACGGCGGCTGTAACCTCGGTCTCGGTCGTCTCTGCCACCATAGCGTCCACCACCGTATGGTTCATAGCGGTATCCACCTCCACGGCGACGATCATCGTAACGGTCTCCACCCCATCCGCCACGAGGAGGTCCACGAGGATCCTCTGTATACGTGTTAGTTGTGTAGATGAAATAAAGAATAATCAGATACATACCTCTCTTTGGTGGACCAAAGTACTTGCCAGGGGTTGGGGTACGAGGACGAGCACGACGAGCCTTTTCAATGCTCAAAGTGCGGCCTTCGATAACCTCACCTTGAAGGCCTTCCTTGGCAGCATCAGCTTGATCAGAAGTGATCATCTTGACGAAACCAAAACCACGAGATTCACGGGTGTGAGGGTCGCGCATAATTTGGCACTTCTCAACATCACCATACTTCTCGAAAAGACGAGAAACCTCTTCTTCGAGAAGACGTGGGTGAATACCAGTGACGAAAAGGTTAGAACCTGGGTTAACAGCACCATCATCTTGTGGTCCTGGTCCGCGATCATTCTTAGGTCCGCTGCTGTGATTATTTGTCAGAATGTGCTATTTTGTGATTCGTGATTAAATGAACTAACCGCTCATCGGCACGACCGTTTCTGTCTGGGGAAGCAGATCGGCGAGGTCCTCCACGTGGGCTGTCATTGCGACGAGTTGGACGAGGAGATGCGCTGCGATCACGCTCGTATCGAGGAGCCTCATCTAAAAGTGAAGAAGATAAATTAGTACACGATTACAAAATTATCAAGAAAAGCTTCAAAACATGCGAAAGAGTGAAAATAAATACCTTCGTAACGAGTGCCGTTCTCGTTCTCATAATCCATAGTGGAAGTCATGATGATGATGATGTGTTATTGTAAGACGAAAACACGAAATGGGTTAAAAAAAGGGTTGATTTGTTTTGCTGATTTGAAAGCTGGAGCTGTCGCAAACGAATTTTCGAGCTCTGTAAACGCTCAAGATCTGTGAGGTAGAGAAAGAATAATATCAAATGAGATTGCAGGAATGCAAATATTTGATACTGTTGATGGGGGGGGGGGGGGGGGGGGGGGGGGGGGGGTAATGGATTAATAAAGAAACAAGATGGGAAGAAAGTTGTTGTTGAAAGGAAGAGGCACGTTAGGTCAGATCGTCAAGTAAAAGAAGTTGTCGCGAATTTAAAATTGGGCCTAGCGCTAACACTAACCGACAGCGGCTAAGCTAAATAACGCGGTGAAGCTGAAAACAAATAATTTGAGGTATCAGGTATCAGGTTTTATAATTACCTGGCAGCCAATGTATCAATCATCAATCATGATCAGGTACGGGTTTACAAGCAACAAGAGGTAATTTCCTTTGTTTGACAAAAAGAAATATTACTGGTAGGTCTAGGTCTTGATGCGTAGGAGTGGAGGAAGTATATCGAATAAATTATACGGATGATTTGAAGTTTTACTGTACCTAGTGTTTGATGTCATATCTGTGTACGTATGTCAATCATATCAATCTTTACTCGAGCACAATTGGCAATCCTTCCTAGAATCATCATAACCACCAACCAGGTCAGGTCAGGGTACTGCACGTAAAGCTGAATAGCTGAGAAATCAAGGAACGCGAATCAATGATAGTGTATCCAATTGCAATATACATCAATGGTATTCGTATGGGTTCTATTGATAATCCTAAACCTCCCAATCAAACTTGTAGTTGTAAGGAAATGCACTTGCCTGCACTGCTTCCTTTTCCCTAGTTTCAACCAAACTCATATGTTAAAGATATCTAGAGACCTGACTACCAATAATACCGCTATAATCTACAATTCTTCGGTATGCATCATCTCTTCTTCATATACGTCTAACTTCTCGTCTTCATTTAAGAAGTCTAATGCAGCAACAGCCTTCCCATCACATGCTCTTTCTAATGCTAAGAAAGCAAAATGTCCTCCAACAACCGGTCTAGCTTTAAACTCGATACCTGGGAACCCACCAGTTCCCTCAGTGTCATACAAATCTGTAAGTGGTTTATCTGTGATAATGTTAGGTTTAGATATTATTTACTTGCCAGTACAGAATTATATACCTGTTGTAGTCTCGTTGACCCATAGTGCAATTGAGTCGACAATTTCTTCGCGAACCTTCTTACTAGCAACTGAAACTGCAAAAAATTCCCAATCACTTTTGGTATAAAGATGACGACTATCAAGAGGTAAACCGTACTTCTGTCGAACTGAGTGGTACCAATCACTCTGTAGTTTGTAAACCTTGTCACTTACAAATCCGGTCTTTGAAGTTTGTTGATCGGGAAGAGTAATAGGTTTTTGATCGTTCCCGATACTTGAAGTAGATGAAGAGCTTGATGGGATGTGGAAACAGAGTAATGAATCTGCAAACAGATTGTATAGAATGGTCCATGATCCGTACCAAGAATATGCCAATTTAGCATGAGTTCCATCTCTGGAAAAGGCAAATTCATCCTCCCATCGTTTGATGTAGGTTTCGGAAATATTGCGGTAGAAAATAGCATCTTCGGTTTCACCAACAACTTCAGCAATCTCGCTCATAGCCTTGATTCCTATGATACCTTTCAATGCAAGGTTTGTTTGGTTGGCTAACCACCCCGCAAAGTCATCGGTCGACAATTGATTACTAGGGATAAGAGTTTCCCTGACCAAATAACCAGTCCATTGTTTCCATAATTTATATGATTTCTTGACCCATTTTCTTGCTTGCTTTTCACCCTTGGCCTCGATGGGACCCCCAACACTATCATCCATACCATCCTCATCGACAAAAAGTGGGAAAGCACTTTCAATGAATTGGGTGGTTTTGTGATCACCTTGATTGGACCAGATACTTGCTGGCTTAGTGTCATATTTAAGTGAGTTGACCAATGCCAAACCCATGATGAGCATATTACCACATTCTTCAACGGGCATGTATTCATCTCTACCGTCTGGATGTCCTGTTGCGTTAGGGAATGACGAACCAAGATCATGCATGGCGTAATCATTAGGATATTGACCACTAAGCATGTGTTCGATCAAAGGTTCCAGCATATACGCCAACCATCTAGGATTGGTGTATAAGAAGAATGGGAAAGCGGGGTAAATGACATCAATGGTGTTCATGTTTCCATCAGACGAGATTTCCTTGAAGAAAATAACAGGGTCATCAGGAGTACCAGCAAAAGATGCAGCACCCAATACTTGACGTGCACTGAGCGCGAGGATGTCCTTGTAATCTTCAGATCCAGATTGTAAAGCATCAATTGCAAGTTGATCCGAATAGTTGCTTGCGAGATTAAAGGCTGTTTGAAAGTCGTTATAATGGTATTCAAGCAGGTCATCAGCTTCCGGATAATAAGAAGCCCACAATGGACGCATAGCTGTCAAGCCTCGAGCGGAAGCAAATTGAATGACAGGATTTTGGATATGTGCAATGGTAAAGAGAGCACTGGCGTATGTTTTCCCACTTTCAGCAGAAGTGGAATTGGAAGTAGAATTGAGCTTGAATGAATAGGCAAATGCGAAAACTGGTTCCTCATCCATAATTCCTCGAAAGTTGGTGTCAACAGTATTTTGTAATTTCCCGCTTCGTGAAAAGTTGGTTCGTAGTATACCAGATGTACCAGCTTGATGGTTGGCTTCAGCTGGGCCTATGAAGTGTAATTGTCCCCATTCTGAACGGTCACCCCATTCAGTGAACAATTGCTCAACTACTCTCTTGGCCTTCCAGATCTTTAGTGGTGGATCTTTGCTATCCTTTGCCGGTTCACTCTGACTGAATGACCAATCAATGGCATTGGCCCTGTTACCACTAACCCATAATCCATTTATATCCAAGTATACATCGAGATCAAAATCTCCGGTGACATACACAGTTAAGTATGCCGCAGGTATTGATTGTCGGAAAGTAGAGGTTGGTGTAATTGGGGATAGGAAGGATAAAACGACTTCGAGTGGTTCTTGGGATTTAGAAGGCGACGGAATATTATATGTAAGGTTTGTAGTTGAAGCATCAAAAGTAGCACCTAGGAATGTAGGATATGATACATTGAAGCTATGAATGAATTAGTTGCTGTTTGCAATTCAACAATGACTGTCAATAGCTCTCAACTTACCTATCTCCGGATTTACTTAATGAATCGTGAGGTCTACCCAACAATGGATAAACAGTATCGGCGCCTGGTACTGAGGCAAGGACAGAGAATCCAATCTATATAAAATAGAAGTTTTAGTGACCGGACTTGAATGGCGGAAAGATATTCTTCAATTCCATACCTCTTGACCTGTCCAGAATATAGGCCAATGTTCCCATGGATTCTCTCTTGCATGTCCTAACCAAGCACTCAAATATGGATTTCGAACAATCAATGGTATCACTGGCGGGGTCAATGTAGAAGCTTGTGCGACCGTCGCTGCTATTGCAGATGCAGCCTGCAGGTAATTTGTCCAACGCATGGTTGATGTGTTATGTTGCGTGCATATATGTATGTACTCGTATTCATCAAAGTACCATCAAAAGAACCGATTCAAAAGAGACAAGAAGGATTGGAAAGTTCAAATGATAAATAAACATTCACAAACTATTTCGACTCCATGTGATGAAGAATAGTAAATAGTTGATGATGGAAAAGGATGAGAAAGTCTTGCTTACTGAGCTTTGTTCTTATGGAAAGACAATCATGAGACCAAACTTACTCTTTTGCATAGGGAGGTAGGAAGGAGCCTTGGTACACCATTCAAGGTACGAAACAACCGGCTCCATCTTAGTTTAACCTTTTCCCCTGTTCTACGAAGTACGGAGTAGTATGTTGTCATGAGACGGGAAATGCGGGGGCTAGCGTTGTTTGCATAACTCCACGTTGTTTTATGAAGATTATCCATAAAGTTATGCTTATCAAGAGATCCACGGATTATGGAGAATTTGAGCTACCTTCAACCACAACCAACACCATCAACACCGCCAATGTGTCTTAGAATAGGTTCAGACGACAACCTTCAAAACCAAGAGGATGAATTGATAGTCAGGGACTATTTAGTCTCTTGGAAGAGCCGACTATTAAATACGCTGCTGCATCTTGTCTAACACATGAATCAAAGACTACCTAGATGGGTACGAATATAATATCCAACTTGGAGTACAGGAAGATCATCTGAATCAATTCTTTCCTTAGCTACCTACCCACTCATTTTTGGCGAGGTACCAATCGAAGAAAATGCCAATCTCGTGATAATTCTCTTTGACTCATTTCAGCTGGCAGTTTGAACAGCCATGAATAGCTTAGTGCTCACCATTACTTGAGGTTACATCCCCCTATCGCGACAACCCCTCATCTGGTATTCTTACTTTTTTGGTTCTTAAATGTCACTTCCTCGTTCCCGCCATCCATTTTATCAATATCCAGCCTGTTTGCAAACACTATCACCGAGAAAACTAATAGCTCAACACCACCATCATGTCGATGAAAGGCAAGGTAATCGCCATCACGGGAGGTGCATCAGGGATTGGTCTTGCTACAGCCAAGCTTCTCAGTTCACGTGGTGCCATCGTCTGCATTGGCGATATATCCAATGAATCTCTCGAAACTGTCATGGAGGGTGGTTTTGTCACACAAGTCAAGGGCTCGATAGTCGATGTGTCAAATCGTAAATCAGTTGAAGGCTGGATTGACGAGATTGTGACTGAATTTGGGAAACTAGATGGTGCTGCCAATTGTGCGGGGGTTATTGGTAAACATCATGGTGTGATGAAGATCCAAGATCTAGAAGACGAGGAATGGGACAAAATCATTGCGGTTAATTTAACCGGCATGATGTACTCTCTGAGAGCTGAGCTATCAAAAATTGAAAATGGTGGAAGCATTGTCAATGTATCTTCCATTGCTGGAACGCACGGTTAGTCATTTCCATCACATCAAGATGTTTGATTTTAAGCTCATACAAAGTGCTTCAATGCAGGATTTGCGAAAATAGGACCCTATGTCGCTAGCAAACATGGAGTTATTGGGCTTACCCGTACTGCCGCAATGGAAGTCGGTGATAGAAATGTACGAGTGAATGCTTTAGCTCCTGGTCCAA